AATTTGTTAGCAAATACATATCTGTTAATTGTGGTTTCCTATTCATTCGTTGAGATGAGGGAGCCTATTTTGCATTAAAACAAGAAAATTACTACTTTGCACTTTATTGCGCTTTGCGAAAGTATGATTTTGTCCTTGGATGTTCAAAATTCACTTCAGCTAGAGACGATATCTTTCTTTCTTATGCTGATGTAGATGGTACTATTGACTGCTTGATCTTCTTGCGCATGTACATTGATAACGTATCATGTGTTTTTGCTTTTTTTATTTGCCTGTTTACTTCTCGGTATTTATCAGTTGACTTACTGTTAAATATGCCCTTCTGTATTTGATTTTAGCTCTGAATATATGAATCCTGGAGAAATTTATTCACAGTAATGTATCTTAATATCTAGTGATACTTGCCATTATGTTCCCAATTAAGCCTAAACTCATTTTATTTGTCTGGCTGATGCTTATGCTGATGTCTTACAGTTGCAGCTCTGGGTGAGGCAATCGATAGAAATGGATCGTCTGAAGAGGAGGTAGATGTGAATAACGGTTTCATCGACCCTCAGGCTGAAGATCAAGAACTGAAAGGTCAATTACTGCGCAAATACAGTGGTTACTTGGGTAGCCTTAAGCAGGAGTTCATGAAGAAGAGGAAGAAGGGCAAGCTGCCTAAGGAAGCAAGGCAACAACTGCTGGACTGGTGGACCAGACATTACAAATGGCCATATCCATCGGTATTGCCCTATAACCCTCAACGCCCGCTCCAATGATTTAACTTCTTGGCCTTTATATCATGAATTTCCTATTAATGTATGAAATATGCTTCTATTAATCCGTTATTACATATATCAACCATTACATTAATAGCAATTCTGCTATATTAGAGTCATTTCATTGTAATTAGTACTCCCTAATTTTGCCTTTGCCTTATAAGACAAGCCAGGAGTGTGGTGGATGACATATAAGTGAAGAATTTAACTTTTGTGCATTGGACCAGACCCCACCTGTGGGATTATACTGGGTTTGTTGTTTGTTGTTGCATTGTCAATAATGACGGTGAATATATAGTTTTCTTAGATTGTCAGGTTAAGATGACTTAATAACAATAGTGTAGGCAAGTGTTTATTCTAATCCTAATCTAGTAGTAACATAAAAGAAATGCAATTAATAGCCTGCTTTATATAACTGATTTCTAATAGTATAATTATTTTTCAGTATCAGTGTATATTAGTTAAATTAATAAAAGAAATGTACATTTTCCAGAGAAATTCTCATATGATCGATTTACCTTTTTTTTCCGTGTGATATATATTAACAGGAATCCCAGAAGCTAGCACTTGCTGAATCTACAGGATTGGACCAGAAGCAAATAAACAACTGGTTTATCAACCAAAGAAAAAGGCACTGGAAACCTTCAGAGGATATGCAGTTTGTGGTAATGGATGCTGCTCATCCACATTACTATATGGACAATGTTCTTGGTAACCCTTTCCCAATGGATATTACACCAACTCTCCTCTAAATTCTGGAGATGGATAATTCCAGCTTATGAAAATTAGAGTGATTCTTCAATCTTCAATATGTGTAGTGTTAGATGTATTATCAAGAATGTTCTGCATATTACTCGTATGCATATGTTATTGTAATTTCATGGCTAAGACCATAAGTACTTCTTGTTCGACCTATTTCTGTTGTGGTTAACTCTATGAAATTATATTTACTAGTAGTTTGTTATATGTTCTAATGTCAATTTTAAAAGTCTGGGTATTTGGTTATTAGCTAGCGTTTGGTCATAGATTCTCAAATTTATTTTGAAAAATTGGATTTGGAGGAAGTTTGGTTTGAAAAATTGGATTTGGAGGAAGTTCGGACATCAGTTTTCTAAACATCTATTTTTTTTTCTTCTGAAAAACATGAAACATGATTTTACTCACAAGTTCTAAAAACTTTTACAAATACCCTATAGTACCTTCATTAATAAAATTCATTATATTATCGCAAACCATAGTCATGAACATAAATAAATTTGGTACTAGATTATTATTTTTATAATGAACTACATCATACACTATATCGAGAAGTTTGGACTATTTTATAAAATACAAAACTTTGGAGCAATTTTTAAAAAATATAATAATAATATTTTAGGGGAGCTGGTTTTGTGTTTTGGAAATTTGCCGAAATATGGATAAAATTTATTAACAAACATTTATTTGCCAAAAAAAATTCAAATATATTTTGGCTAAATCTATGGTCAAACGGGTCCTTAGTGTTGTGAGTAAACTTAAACTACTTTATAGGGAGCCCTAATAAATGTGTTTCACCTTCAGTTTCAATTTAGATGACACTTTTTTTTATAAGCTTGTTTAAAATAGAAAGAAACATATATATAATTGAAAATAATTCAACTTTAAACTCTTCATTGTACCTTTAATGAGAAATTTTTATAATCGCACTATAAGTTTTAATAATTTTTTTTTTCTCTCTAAACTCGGTGCCGAATGAAACTAACTCGGGAGTACTAAATTTTGCAAAATACGAGGTACGATGTAACACAACGACAGGATTTTCTGTAGTATATCATTAGGTAGCTCTACCTAAGTTGAACACAATTGTATACTAACCCACCCAAATGGCTTCAACAGTAAACTGAAGCCCACTTCATGAGGAAGGCTTTCCTTTTGGGCTTCTCCATCAAAACCCCAAGAATAAAATGGACTATCTTTGAAGTAAGATTTTATTAGATCAATTTAATATTTAAAATTTTAATATTAATTTTTTTTAATGAAAATACTACAAGTTTAATTCTACTCATATCAAACAATGAAAAAAATATTTTAAAGTATTGGTTAAAATTCATAATTTGACATACTTTAAATCCCATCAAGCGAAATGTCTTACATAAATTTTTACGGAATTTATAGATCTGCCAACACTTGAGACAAATATGTTACTACTCCATAAGCAAGAAATTTGTCAAAGAAAGTATTATTTGTATTTGTGAGAGGTTTCATTGTTGTAATTATTATTATATATAGTGTAGGGGTACTTGTGATTTTGCAGAACTTATTTAAACTAGATAAGAGTAAAATAACACGCGAAATGATCCTATTTATATTAGATTCTCTATTACTCAATAAACTAATAAAATCTTCTAGTCAAGAGTAAGAATTATAGTCATGAGTGGAGGTGGAGTATGATGGTCCCACTGTATAAGAATAAAGGTGATATCTAGAGTTGTAACAATTATAGGGGTATCAAATTACTGAGTCATACTATGAAAATATGGGAGAGGGAGGTTGAAGCAAGGTTGAGGATGACGGTGTCCGTTTCCGACAACCAATTTGGTTTCATGCCGGGTCGTTCCATTACAGAAGCTATACACCTTGTTAGGAGGTTGCTTGAACAGTACAGAGATAGGAAGAAAGACCTACACATGGTGTTTATTGACCTAGAAAAAGCGTATGACAAGGTTCCTAGAGAAGTTCTCTGGAGAAGCTTAAAGGCAAAAGGCGTGTCGGCTCCCTAAATTATGGCGATTAAGGACATGTATAATGGGGCAAAGACTCGGGTTAGGACAGTAGGAGGCGACTCTGAGGATTTACCAGTTGTTATGGGGTTACACCAAGGTTCTGCGCTCAGTCCGTTCCTATTCGCCCTGGTGATGGACGCGTTAACACATCACATTCAAGGGGATGTGCCATGGTGCATGCTATTCGCCGATGACATAGTTCTGATTGATGAGTCGCGAACCGGTGTTAACGAGAGGCTGGAGGTTTGGAGACAAGCTCTTGAATATAAGGGTTTCAAGCTTAGCAGGACAAAGACGGAATACCTGGAGTGTAAGTTCAGCGCTGAGCAGAGGGAAGTGGGCGTGGATGTGAGGCTTGAATCACATATCATCCCAAGTAGAGACAGCTTCAAGTACCTTGGGTCGGTTATCTAGGGGGGGAGGGGAGATCGACGAGGATGTTACACACCGAATCGGGGTAGGATGGATGAAGTGGAGGTTAGCATCTGGAGTATTGTGTGACAAGAGAGTGCCACTGATACTCAAAGGTAAGTTCTATAAAGCGGTGGTTAGGCCGACCATGGTGTATGGGGCTGAGTGTTGGCCGGTTAAGAAATCACATATCTAGAAGATGAAGGTAGCAGAAATGAAGATGTTGAGGTGGATGTGCGGGCATAGTAGGATGGACAAGATTAGGAACAATGATATTCGAGAGAAGGTAGCGTGGCTCCCATTGATGACAAGATGCGGGAAGCAAGGCTCAGGTGGTTCGGGCACGTTCAGAGGAGAAGCCCAGATGCTCCGGTAAGGAGGTGCGAACGGCTGGTGGTGGAGGGCTCGAGAAGAGGTAGAGGGCGGCCTAAGAAGTATTGGGGGGAGGTGATTAGGCCGGATATGGCGATGCTTCGGATTTCCAAGGACATGACACTTGATAGGAACATGTGGAGGTCGAGTATTAGGGTTGTAGGTTAGGAGGTAGTTGAGTCTTGTCTTATGCCATAACTTTGGGAGACTAGTTTGGTAGGGATAATATTTTGCCTTTGCTTTGTATCATTCTTCTTGATTTCATGTTGTTCTTATATATATATATATATATATATATATATATATATATATATATATATATATATATATATATATATATATATATATATATATATATATATTTTTTATTTTTTTTTCTTTCATATTATTTCTGTGGTGGTACTAATATTGTCTTCTTTTGTCTTTTTGTCTTCTTGAACCGAGGGTCTTTCGGAAACAGCCTCTCTACTCTTTCGGGGTAGGGGTAAGGTCTGCGTACACACTACCCTCCCCAGACCCCACTAGTGAGATTTCACTGGGTTGTTGTTGTTGTTGTAGTCAGAGTAAACAAAAAAAAAAAAAAAAAA